ATTCCTGCTCAAGAAAATCCACAAAAAATTATATGAAGTTTAGCTTTACATGGTGAAAAATCACTTCAATTCACCCAAAAGTGCCAGTTGAAGTTATTTTTCAGGTTTTATGTCACATCTAAATACTCTACCTTCATAGTATATGTCCCAAGTGGGATAATATTTAGATCTTACCTTCTAGTAAAGGTTTGAACTTTACACTAGTCTACATCTGCAACCACAAAAATTCTAAGATAAGAATTTATTTAAAAACTGATATTGAACGTCGAATTACTATTGTTACACGGATAAGTACAAGTCGTATCATATCATACAGTGCTTCTACTATTCTTTTTTTATTTTATTTTTAAATTGACCTAAACATTATAGTAATAAACTAACTAATCATAAGGAAAAGAAATAAATTCAACTTTCGAAAAAGTGAAATGAGACAAATAAGGTAGAATACGAACTCAGTTTGAAGATTTTTTCTCTTCTTGTTTCTGGTTTAGACTTGAGGAAATAATTTGATGCGTTAATTCTAAAATCCGGGTTCTAACTCAAGGAAATTAGAATATTTCCAATGCAAGAGAAATGAAAAAAAAAAAAAAAAAAAGATAAAAAGATACTCGTTTTCTCTTTTGCAAATAATTTTCTCTTAGACCAACCTGCAACAACATTTTAATAACTTAATAGTTTGAGTTTTATTATTATTATTATTATTATTATTATTATTATTATTATTATCAAAAAAAGTTTTGAGTTTAAAAATGTAGACTACTTAATAATGACACCACCCGGTTGCTCTTCGTAAAAAAAAAAAATGATCATTCATTCTTGATCTGTCAGTCATTTTACAAATAAAAATACAAATAAAAATTTTTGAAAAGTTATTTTGCTAATAAAACTTGGTTTATCATGTCATTTTCATTGATGTCTCGCTTTGAATTCCTGAACACTTTCAAGCTAAACAATGCCATATTTTGAATTTTGTTCTGCTAACAAATAGGGGTGATAAACATAAAAGAAAACATATTGGAAGAAAAGGAAAAGAAAGGGCAGGGATTAGTGACAAAAATTGGAAAAATATGCAACCAAGCAATCGCAATGTAAAACTGCTGATACATATTAACCTCTGTTACAATGTTTCTAATCAATAATAAGTGGCACAACAGGTAGAATACAAAGAATAACAGGGGAAAGAAAAAGGGGCCAGAAAAGACAAACCAAAACTTCAATAGAACCGATTTTACAAATAGTAACCAAAATAGCAAAAAGAAAAAAAAAAGTATATAAACAGAATTAAGCCCTAAGAAGAGTATCAATGGATTCAAAGAAAATAGGTGCCATGTCAGGGTTTGGAGTCTTGATTGCACACTTGACTCCGGGGTTTCCAACGACTGTGGTGAGTTCGATCAAGAAAGGTGTTCCTTGAGGGAGTTTTGCCGAGAAGTAGAAAACATCCTGGTTTGCGTGCTTGCGTCTTGCGATAAAGAACATGTTTGAGGCAGTCAGCAGGTCCAGAGTAGCTTCCACTGTGCTTATCACGGCACCAGGGAAGTCCTTTGACACCTCGTTTGAGTCGGGCAGGGATCTCCATGTCTGCAAGTGGGGCATTGTTACGATCAAAGACTGGTTCAAATCACGAAAACAATCTTTCCTTTTTCTTTAATAGGAAGACAATCATCTGAATTCTTATATGGCAATTTGCCACACAAACAAAGCCCACTCAACGGCTTACCCCATTGCTTCAATAGAGGGATGGAGGACAATATAACATTATGCATGCAATACGGTATTTAAGTTCTACAGCTTCTTATGACACGTTCACGTTTAACCAAATAGAGGTCCCTGTTAATATTAATCACTAAAGAGGAGATGAATGTAGTCGTACCTCGAGAAAGCTTGCACGCTCCATTCTTCCTTCCTCAGTGAAGAACACGTGCAACAAGATCTTATCATTGAAGTACCACACTGGTTGTTGATTGTTTTTTACAGCAACCTGAAGGAGTGAGCTTGGAGGACCTTGAGACATATTTTGGAAAATAACCATCGGCAGAAGTGTCCTTGCAGATGTCCCAGGTTGCAATTGTGGAACCTAATAGCCCATAAAACATAGAGTAAGAAATTTGAGGCAAGGGATAAAAGACCCCCCAAAAAGAAAAACCTTAAAGCTAGCTACCTGCAACGGTCCAGCAGCTGCAACACCAAATGTATTCTTGTTGAATTGAATCATGAAACCGTCAAGAGCAACCTGTGAGTTGTTCTCAAACAATAAACTGTAAAAGATTTGATCATCCCGTCGTGTGAGCTGAGCACTGATCTGCAAACCTTGACCGGTTGATTCCGGCAGTAAAACAGGCAATGGAGGGCTGCAATGAACATCATAAAATTCAGTAAGTCCTATCAAGAGATTCCTTGCAACTAATTGACTCCTGACCTCCGTAACTTAAATAGTTTGCATGCTCCACCACACTTACCCAGCTGGAGTAGCAGGCTGATCCGTAGGAACAATGGCACTATTATCCAAGCCAATCAGATCACCTAGTAGATCTGGAACTGGAGCAGCAGGTGCGGGCTGAGTTGGTGCAGGACCTGGTTGTCTCGCTCCAGCATATGGAACACTTCCAGAGCTACTTGATGGAGATGCAGCGCCATCAGCAACAGGCGCAGAAGATTCAGAATACCCGGCTTCGCTTCCTTCTGCATACTCATCATCTTCCGTTCTCTGGTTTGTAGTCTTCACGCGCGTTACAAACGCTTCTGGGGGCTTGTGATACACAGAAGATAATGTAGCGATGTTGGCAAGAAGCTCATCCAGAAGAGATGGATCAAGCTGGTTTGAATCATCGCTAATCACTGGCTTCTCTGCTAACACAACATCCTTCGCAGACTGCACAAAAAAGAGTCCTGTCAGACCCAGAATATGTAGTCCTGACAGCATCTAATACGTCCCAATCCCACTTTCTGAAGTAACCACATCAAAGCTGACTCTACTTGAAGACTTGAAATAAGCTTAGTCATTGTGTGGAACCAAAAAGGCATAAGAGTTATTAGGTCATATATTGGATCCTACCACTTGAAGTAAGATCGAGACTTTGTTGAGTTCCATTGTCTAGTCCTATCTAGGGGTCAACCGAGAAGCTAATGTTAGCTGTGGCACATGCATGGGATGATACCACAATATTAACTGTCTGACATACATGCCAAGACAACACCACCACTCCTTTTCCTCAGAGAAGAATAGAATAAAAAGTGAAATGAAGTAACTGTCAAGAAAAAGAAAAGGCAAAAACATATTCTGAGCTGAACCACACCTCAGGGTCAGTTGACAAGAGACGCCAATATATGTACGCACGATCCCGAAGGTCAGGGTTATCTGTTTCTACAGTCGCATTATTCAAGACAACCTGTAAACATATAAATCCAGATCGTGAGAATCTCCTGAAAAACTATCAAAAACAGTATACTTGTAGCTCATGTTAAGAAGGAAATTCTTTATAGTCATGATACTGCATTTTAGCTTTCAGATATAAATAAAAATCCACCTCTTAATCATAATGGATTGGCAATTCCCTCTACATTAGTGACCATGGAATCAGTTGTCTATGGTCATGTCGTGCACAGTACACACAAAAACCAACAACATTTTAATTCGAATGAATTTAATCTACATGTACAAAATGGTTTACTAATCATTCAATGTACACACAATCGAGAAGTAGAGCTTTAAGTTAAACATGTCACAGAGAATTTTATAAAAAGGGTTCCAGATTGGCTACTTTGTTTCCATTTTGGTCGAGGGTATTTTGTGAAGCTCTAATAAGGCCATTTAAAAACACTTAGAAGATTTTTTGGAATAGATACCCAATTTGTTGTAATCCAAAGTAGCCGTATACACATGAAATTCTCGTACTCTTTCTTGAGATATATAGGGAGGACATGGCCCTTTCAATAACAATTTCAGGGTGGGGACAGGAAAATAGAAAGCAGGATCATTTAATGTTATTAATATAATACTAAAACAGACCTGTATCATCTGCTGAGGCCCTTCAGTTGGTTTCTTAAGGAAAAGTTTGACAGTTGCAGTCAGCAGTTGCAACTGGACTTGTGCAGGCTCTTCAGGGAAACTTTCCAGAAAGCTCTCAAGGAGCTCGTCAGCATTATCAATTCTCTCCGCGTATTCGCCAATTATCCAGATCATTGATGCCTAAATCAAGTTAACAAAAAAGGGAAGCCTTATGTATGAGCATGGAAACAATGAGACTCGTTTCTATATGCATCAAGCAGTGAACCTGCACAGTAACAAGGGAAGGACACTAATACCTTAGCTTCTGGTTCATCCAAAGTGTCCAGGCTCTCGCATAGTGTTGCAATAATGGATTCATAGCTGTAAAGCAAGAGAAAGATAAAATAGGATTCAAAGATACGATGTAAAGCAAGAAAGAGAGAACGCACAAAGTTTGGGATATCTCCTAAAGAAGAAGAAGAAGATATCCTTCTCACAAATCAAATAATATAACTTACGTATTGGGATATCTCCTAAAGATATCTTTGATGACAATAATGGCCTCTTGAACCACATAGTTCACTTTAATCTTAATCAGTTCAAGTAGAACACTAATGCACCGCTCAGCTGCCCTATCTAATTTGATGGCACAACGGCCAATTGCACGAACAGCTTTTCTAACAAAATCAACATCAACTTCTGTAGCATACTCTTTAAACTCCAAGAGAACCTACAAAAACGTAATGGAAAAAAGGAAAAAATTAAATAAACTTATTAGCAAATTGCCAGTAGATAAGTTTACTCAGAACTTGTTAACTACGATAAAAATTTACACACCTGGTCTATATTTCGGTCAGAAGCCAGCTTGATCATGATTTCCAACTTTTCCATCTTCACATAAATGGGATCATTGTACTTGCAGAAGAATACCTAGCAAAAGACTAACTAATTATAGACAAGATCTTTCTTCAACAGGCAAGAACCTTAGAAATTATAAGGAACAGGCAAGAACCCAGAATGATTTAATTCACCTTAATTTCATGAGCAAGGATTGTAGGCCGTCTTTGTACTATAAGGTTTATGTTCCGCAATGCAACATATTGTATTTCTGGTTCAGCAGAGAGTAATGTCACAAGTGGAGGAGCCATCTTCTTGCAAAGATTTCTAACCACATCAGTACTAGTTATTAGTTCCATTTGTTGCAGGATCATCTGCAAGGAAAGTGCAGGAGAAAGTTTGTTAATGATGGATAACAAGAGCATGAAAAATGTTGATGGCAATGTGGTAGCAACAATGAGATGATGCCAAACGAGATCAGCCAAAGCATCACCTTCACAGCTGAAAGTACAACTGCGCAGTTAGCATGTTGTAGTCGTGGTGTCACTCTCTCCACTATGTTTTCAGCTTCACGAGCATCAGCTGCCTTGTATCTAGACAGAGCATCCAGTATAAAAACTTGGCCCCACCTGCAAACGTTATCAATTCAACTCAAAACATAAAATACAAAGATCACAAAGAAAATTCCTATAAAAAGCAATATATAGAAGGCAAAGAAACCAATCAAATACCTAGGATCAAAGTTACATTTTAATAAAAGAAACAAACAAATAAAATATATTTACAGAAATTTATGTAAACTTACTCTGTGCATTCATTTAAAGCAGTAAGCAGCTTAGACAGTGTATGACTTGTGATCTCAAAAATGGGTCTGTTACTATTCTCTTGAATTTCAGCCAGAGCAGCAACAGCGTTTGCTACAACCATTGGATTGTTGTCGGATATCAAATCCTTCAGAGATTCCAGAAAACCCCTATCCTCAACCAACTCAGCATTTATGTCATAAAGTTTGGCGACGCATATGGCTGCTGTCTTGCGAACATATGGATCATCATCCTATCAACAGATCAATTAGTCAGTACACCACAGACTGCAAGTAATTCATCAGAATCTTGTTATCCAGATTACAAAAACCCTAGAATGTCCAAAACTTAGTCAGCAACAACCTTAAGACATCTCTGAAGAGGATCACAAAGATATTCTGTAATTTTATCAACACGAATGCACCCCATTGTGCGCACGGCCAAAGCACGAATCAAAGGATTGGGATCCTGTGAGTCCTGCAGAAATGATCATATCACATCCGTTAAAGATGCATAATAGCATTAAATGCCATTAATAAGAACATTCATTTGCTAAAAATTTACGGCTAAAACATAAATTAAACTCCATCTAATGATAACAAGTTCCTTGATCTTTTGGGATAGCACCACTGCATCTCAGTTTGTGCATCCTATTGGTGATGTGATACATATTGTTGCAGACCTTCCATATTCCTCTGTGTAATGCATTTACTAATATAAATCTTTCTCACTGGAAAAAATGCCACACATAAAGGACATCCACTTAACTTGACCAACTAGATAGGGAAAAAAAAGTTGTGTTCTCGCAAGTTAATAAACTTGAAACGAAAGAAACAGTAAAAGTGCCACAAATAACAGCTAAAACTTGGAAAAAGCAAAGTACATTCATTTGGAAACAAAATTGCAACAAAATAGAAGGGTCATCAAGTATAATATCAAGCGTACTCTTCCAACCCCAGAGTTTGAAGTTAGCAAGATAGATCCTTCTGACAAATCATATAGGTTGCTTTCATACAAAGAGAATCTGGATTAACTAATAGTTATATCCAGACAGGAAATAACGAGAACATCAAACAAGCATTTCTTCCCTTTGTCCTCCTAATGATGTAATAAAATAAATCTCAAAATGTAGAGAGAAACGAGGTTTATTTAAGTCGTTTACCTTAACAAATGTGTTTACTGCAAGTATGGCTAGGTCCGGCTGACTTTTAGCATAATTTATGAGATACAAATACACAAGCTTCTTCAGCTCCAAATTTTCCGTTTGCATGCAATTGACTACATCCGTGAAGAGTGATGACACATCCTTCCCAACTGTCATTGCAGCAATCACTTTCTTGACAGCATCTTTTCTCTTATCCTGCACGACAAATAAAAGAACAAATAGATTCACACAACTTCACAAGAGGTACAAAGAAACTGATGAAACAAAAAATCGAGATCAACAAAACGCCCTAAAACTAATATACAGTTTCTTTTCTGTATACGCATGGGGAAAAAAAGTTACATTCAATTACAAACAACAATTTCATAAGTTGCGATCTAATTTGCATTCTAGAATGTTAAAAAAAAAAAAAAACTTTATTCCCTATTTGAATCCGCATAAATGTTAATTATCTGCAAAAGCTTAAAGATCTCATAGATGCAAGATCAAACTAGCTATTTCGCGAGAAATTTACAATGTCTGCTCAGTCGTTTGAATAAAAACAGAATTGAGAGCTTCAAGTCGTTTATACATTCACCATCGTGTAGAATTAACAAAATGCCCCGATTTCCTCCCATTTCCCCACTTGTTTCCCCACTTGTTTCCCGGGAACCAAACGGAACACATATCGTCAACCGAAACCGCACAACAATCCTAATCCAGAACAAGCTATATGAAACGAAGCAATATCCAATCGAGTCCAGAAAAAGCAATCTAAGCAAAGAATCAAAGCATGAACGAACAGATCTGCGCATAAATCTCCACGATACGCCGCAAAAACACCGCAACTCAACGAAAATCGAAAATTCTAAGCGACGCAGATCGAAGATCTGGGTGGCATATAGATATACAAATGCATATACAAGAACATGTATAGGAAGAGAGAGAGAGATTGGAACCTTGTACTGAGAATTGAGCTCCTCTTTGAGCTCAGGGATTTCTCCCTTCTTGGTGGTGGAGAAGTACTTGGAGTCGTGGCCGCTCATTTTCTGTGAGGCTCGTCTCCGAGTCGACGACGACGAAGAAGAAAGTTGCAGAGAGAGGGAGAGAGCAAAGTGAATCGGGCTTGAAGATCAAAGCAGACAATTAGACAAATAAACCGTGTTTGAAGATTCGAACCGGTTTTGTTGACGGGTACGACCCGACTTCTGGTATCTCTCAGTCTCTCTATGTATGAAGGAAACGACGTCACGTTTTAACTTTTAAATGAGGAACAATGAAATGAAGGACAAGTCAAAGCCAATCTTTCCAGGAAAAAAAAAAAAAAAAACAAAGAAGTCAAAGCCAACCTTCCAGTGTTAGAATTTATATAGAAGAGACACCGTGAAAGTCTATCATTTATGTCATTTTAAATAATGGTGTTATTTTAATATTTTTTTTATTAATTGAATGAAAAAAAGTTGAGTGACAAACAATATTTTTTACTATCTTTATTCGTGAATAATATTTTTAGTTTTCTCCCTATTTAGAGTGAAGACACATTTTGTTTTGTTGTTTATTAAAATACGACAATTCAATAGGGGCAAGATGTCGTTTTTAAGATAATATCATGTGTTCATAAGATGACCACCAATTAGAAAAAAAACTATAGCATCTGTTTGTTTTATGCGTTTAAACATATAATTTTAATTATGTTATAATATTTTTTTCTCATAAAAATTTAAAATTTAAATATGAATCATTGATTACTGGGCCGTAGTTTTATGTATGAACCATGAATCTTAAGACGTTTTATTGCCCAAAAAAACGACACTAGAATAAGCGACATGCCTTTTCAATAAAAAGAGGAAACGAGTAGCTTTTTATCGAAGGAAAACAGCAATGGAATTAACCACAAGTCCTTTCTTTCATTAAAGGAAGTAAATCTATCGTATTCGTTTTATTGGTCGAAGCAAACGACATTGTACATAACGGGCATGTCGTTTACTCATAAAATAAGAAACGACGTCGAATCCTAAGAAGCTACAAGTCGTTTTTTCCGCTCGTGGGGCCCACTCGAATTTACAGCGCGTGCGACCACCGCGCGGACGTAGAGGCGGGTTCCTTCTCCCTCTGTATATATGTTCGCCGTGAGTTCGTTCAATCAAACACACTGACGAACTCTTTAGTCTCCGATCATTCAATCTTTAATTAATATTGAGATAAAAAAAAAAGAAAAAAAAAACCAAACCGATTAAAAAATAATCAAAAACAACTCAAGCAAATCTCGAAACTTAATCAGAACTTTTATTCTTTTCGCTCTCAATAATCATGGGACACGGTATTCTCTTCAATTTCTCTCTCCCATCGGAAACTTTTTTTTTTTTTTGTTGGTGATATTTTTGATGGAGATTGATTAATGTTTCTTGCTAATTATTCGATTCGATTTTTCAGGTGACCACAAAGGTCGACCTAGTAAGAAGCACAAATCTTCTGCCAAGGTTTTTTTTTTCGTCTTTTTTGTCTTCGTCTTATAATGTCGTTTTTCCGGTGGTATTATGTTCTGATTTGATCAAGCAATGGATACAGGAAGAGCAGAAGAACCCGTTTTTCGAAGACGAAGATGCGTATTTCGGCGACGAAATCGACGACGATTTCCGCTATGGTGCGTTTTTCTCTTTTTATTGAATTTTCCTTTTTTTTTGGGGTTTTTTTTTTTTGTGGGTTTGAGAATTTGATAAAATTGTGCTGTGAATTGCGATTGATTTGAAGGTGAGGGGAAAAAGAGGGATTTTAGCAAACTAGAATTGAAACCTGATCATGCCAATCGGCCTTTGTGGGCCTGCGCTGATGGAAGAATTTTCCTTGAGACATTCTCTCCTTTGTACAAACAAGCTTATGATTTTCTCATCGCCATTGCTGAACCCGTTTGCAGGTACTAAATTTTAAGTCTTAAACACGATTAGAGTCGCTAATAGAGTTTATGTTTTGGTGGGTTGTTGAATTGTTTATGGTTATGTGAATGATTTCTAGGCCAGAATCAATGCACGAGTACAATTTGACCCCTCACTCGCTTTATGCCGCGGTGTCCGTCGGCTTAGAAACTGAGACAATCATAAGTGTTTTGAATAAACTGTCAAAGACCAAGCTTCCCAAAGAGATGATAGACTTCATACATGGTTCTACTGCCAATTATGGCAAAGTAAAGCTTGTGCTTAAGAAGAATCGCTACTTTATCGAATCCCCATTTCCGGAGGCAAGATTTTGTTCAGTTTTTTCTCCTTTCCCCTCCCCCCCCCACCTGCATAGACTTTTGGGTTGCTAGTAAATTTGGTGGCTATGGATTTGCAGGTGTTGAAGAGGTTGCTCAAGGATGAGGTTATATCTCGAGCAAGGATTACTTCCGAGGTCGGTAAGAGTTCCTTGGCATTGCAAATTGTTGTGGTGCCACTTATTCTTAAGTGCATTGCTTAATTTGAGGTTTTAGATCGTTAAGGGTGGCTTACATGGATCTGTTATGGGTTAGTTATTGCAATATGTGTAATCATTATTTCCTTCCCAAGATTGAATTTCATCCTGGCTTTTAGAAGTGCGTATGTCGTCAATTGCTTACACGTCTTTAGAGAGTTCATCTTTGTAGAATACTTATTTTGGCACACGTTTCATACCCCGGTTGCTGATTTGCATATATCTGCACTCTAACTCTCTATATGTATCTCCCCCCATGTCTGCGCACTGGCACCTGTCTCGTGAAATGTATCTTAATTCAAGTTCTTTACAGGGTTCACATGGGAATGATGGATTTACCATTAGCAAAACTATGGGTGAGATGGGAAATGGTCCTGATAGTTTGCTGAATGAAGCCGAATTGGCTGCTGCAGCTGAGGAAAAAGAAACTCACTCCTTTGAAATTGATCCTTCACAGGTATTGTACGTGTAGTGGCGGTAGATTAGATTCTTAAAACTTTTATAAAGTCCTATTTCTTTATGGTCTTAGGGTCTTTTTTCTTTTATGCTTTAACTTCTGCTATAATCTGTAACTTTGTCTAGTTGCATATCTTCTTCATTTTTGTCTATTTCTTGTTGAAGTCTGTCATCTTGATCTATAATTCGTATCGTATTGACGCATGAGGTGTTTTGATCATATATGTATACAAATTCAATTACCATCAATGAATCTAAAATTTTGGTTAGTCGAACACCTTTTTTTTTCTTGAAATAGATGAATTTGAGGCCTGTATTAGGGTTTTTTATTTTTTATTTTTCCTAAAACCTGTATTAGGGTTGACTATGTTATTTTGTGTCCCAGATTTTTTCACCCCAGTAGGTCATTATCTTTGGATTCTTATAGGCTTTAAGTCAGAAAGTTCGTAATAGAACATCTTCTTGTCAACAGGTTGAAAATGTCAAGCAACGTTGCTTGCCAAATGCTCTAAATTATCCGATGTTAGAGGAGTATGACTTCAGAAATGATACAGTAAGTAACAATATGTTTCCCCTGCTATAGATAGCCAGCAGAGTGGTGAGGCATTCTCTGGTTTTGTGTATGTGTATGGTATCTATCTGTCTGATAGTGTGGACTATTTCTCTGTTTGATACTGCAGGTTAATCCTGACCTTGACATGGAATTGAAGCCTCAAGCACAACCACGACCATATCAAGAAAAGAGCTTGAGTAAAATGTTTGGAAACGGTATGCTTAGCTTGCAAATTTAAGCATATAATTCTGGGAAAGTTCCATATATTATTTTAGAGAGAAGTGAATCTTTTCTTTCTTTCTTTCTTGCTTTCTCTTTGTTTTCTTTATTTTTTTTTTTAATTCACTACAAAATATAATAATCATTATGCATAAAGAACGAGCACATTTCTTAGAGAACAATTTTCAGCACCATAACCAAGCAATACCCAAGATCAATTGGGCAACGAGGAAAAGCAGATGATTATGTATTTTGGAGAAAAAGTTTAGGAATTGGTTAGTTTTACTAGCTCATTATCTTTCTTATATATCGAGAATTTACAAGAATGTTTTCATTATTCACGGTGGCAATTCAGCGGTGATTCCTGTTTTTGTTTACCCTAATTGGATGAACTGGAGTTGAGTTTACAAATAAAATTCTACTTGACCTTACAACTTCATTACTTGGAATTTTCAGGAAGAGCAAGATCTGGCATTATTGTGCTGCCTTGTGGTGCTGGAAAATCTCTAGTTGGTGTTTCTGCAGCCAGCCGAATTAAAAAGAGCTGCCTCTGTTTGGCCACAAATGCTGTGTCCGTTGATCAGTGGGCTTTTCAGTTCAAGCTATGGTCAACCATTCGAGATGACCAAATCTGTCGTTTCACATCAGATAGCAAAGAGAGATTCCGTGGTAATGCTGGGGTGGTTGTTACAACGTATAACATGGTTGCTTTTGGGGGAAAACGGTCTGAAGAATCTGAAAAGATTATTGAAGAAATAAGGAACAGAGAATGGGGATTACTACTCATGGATGAGGTAGCCATATATTTTTGGCTTAAGAACATTTAAAAAAAGCATTACAAAACAAACAAATCACATTGGTTCTGTTCAGGTGCATGTCGTTCCTGCTCACATGTTTAGAAAGGTCATCAGTCTCACTAAATCTCACTGCAAACTGGGGCTTACTGGTATGTATTCTGTAATTACAGTAAATGTCTAGAAACATTTAGTCTGATTCTTTCCACTTGGAGGTGAAAATATGTCATGATTGTAGCTACGCTTGTGAGAGAGGACGAGAGGATTACAGATCTGAACTTCCTTATTGGTCCCAAATTGTATGAAGCAAACTGGTTGGATTTGGTAAAAGGTGGATTTATTGCAAATGTACAGTGTGCTGAAGTTTGGTGTCCAATGACAAAGGAGTTTTTTGCTGAATATTTGAAGAAAGAAAACTCCAAGAAAAAACAGGTCCGTCTATTATAAATGGTCATTTTTGTTAGTACTATTTTTCTTGTTCACAAGATGTTTAAGCTGAATGAATATTTGAATAAAGAGAACCCTAGTGAACAAGTTCCCTGTATATAGTCATATTCTTACTCGGTTGCTTTACTAAACTCTTAATGGCCTCTTACACTTGCAGGCACTCTATGTGATGAACCCTAACAAGTTTAGAGCGTGTGAATTTCTCATACGGTTTCACGAGCAGCAGCGTGGTGATAAGATAATCGTCTTTGCTGATAACCTGTTTGCACTCACTGAGTATGCCATGAAACTTCGCAAGCCCATGATCTATGGTGCTACCAGGTTGTCCATGGCCATATTCTCTCATATAGATAGCTTTCAATTGTGTTGTTTCATGTTTAACCCTGGCAATGTAAATATGCAACACACAGCCACGTTGAGAGGACAAAAATTCTTGAAGCTTTCAAAACTAGTCGAGATGTAAACACAATTTTCCTGTCCAAGGTACTTCACTGGCATTTGTATTTTCTTACTCGTGTTGGTGATTATGACAAAACAGAGTAGATTGTTTCTGTTCCTGGGTTCAGATTCTTTTTCACTTCTTGGTAATAATAAATATTCTTACAGTTTTGTTTCTTGTTTTGAAATTTTTCCTCATTTACAGCCTATATATTGTTTATGATACGAGCCTCATTATATATGATAACCTATTTGAGGAGGAAAAAGAAAAAGAAAAAAACTTAATATCTCATTAAGTTTTAAGATTTTTTCTTCTTCATAGGAAACAGCTGCCATTATATCTAAAAAACTATATATGTATGTATATTTTATATATATATCATAAGCTCCAAAAAAGTTACAGTATTTATCCAGGAGGGTAATTCATTTCTTAATGTAAATTTCAGGTTGGTGATAATTCTATCGATATTCCTGAGGCTAATGTGATCATTCAAATATCATCACATGCTGGTTCAAGACGTCAGGAAGCTCAACGCCTGGGTCGTATTCTTAGGGCTAAGGTTTGTTCTCTTACTATTCTTGGTGTAACTCGTGCTGTCTTCTTATATTGAGATTTGAGATTTGAGATAACAGATGACAGTTTTCATTTACCTCTATTAATCTGGATCTTCTTCTGGTTACCTGATACAAAATCACAACATAATTGATAATTCTTCTAGTTGGTACTATTGTTTTCATTACATGATACATAAGCTGTTATTCTTACCATCAATTGCTCTGATTTAAATTTTTTTTATTAATTATGTTATTGGGTTCAACAGGGTAAGCTTCAGGACAGAATGGCAGGAGGTAAAGAGGAATACAATGCATTTTTCTATTCCCTCGTTTCAACTGATACGCAGGTCAGTTATATCCTTCTTTATTTGATTATATCGATGTGCATGCTCGTGTAATATATATTTCGTTGAGATTGATATCCAACAATGTTATTTGCTCGAATGCAGGAGATGTACTATTCAACTAAAAGGCAACAGTTTTTGATTGATCAAGGTTATAGCTTTAAGGTACTTAAGATGTTGTGTTATTTGCGCAGTTCAGTTCGCTTCGCTGTGCAAAAAAAAATCAGTTTTTACTGCCTCTGGGGACTGATTTTATTAGGCTATGAACTACTTGATTATAGGATCTCTTGAATCTAATTGACCTGTAATTTCTCCTTATGAAAGGTAATTACAAGTTTGCCTCCACCTGATTCAGAAGCCGAATTGAGTTACCATCGGCTTGAGGAACAATTGATTCTTCTCTCCAAGGTATTTTATCTTGGTTCTTTTCAAGTTTTCACTTTGCACCTAATGCTACTTCTTCAAGGGATAGATTCCTCATGTATTTGCTCTATTCACATACCAGGTGCTAAGTGCTGGAGATGATGCAGTTGGGCTAGAGCAATTAGAAGAAGATGCCGATGACATAGCCCTCCATAAAGCCCGTCGTTCTTTGGGTTCCATGAGTGCCATGTCAGGTGCCAATGGGATGGTATATATGGAGTACAGGTATGATGGCTCATTTTTCTCTTTTGTGATGTGATGCGCAGAGATTATTTTTTTTATTTTTTTATTTTCGCTCGCTTGCTTAGTAAAAAAGGTGCGTTTGTGTAAAGATTGGTGCACCAATAAAACCCTGGTTACAGAAATTGTTAGTCTCCCAACATTTTTTTTTTTTTTTTTTTTGGAGTAAGAAAAAGGTTTTATGGGTAGAGGTTGGTATATTCATATGTCCTCGGGCTAGTTTACGGAGCCCACCATCACGGCAAAGGCAACCGGACCACCTAGGTAGGACTTACACGATATAAGCCTTACCAACCCACTTGGATTATGCTACGGTGCTTTGGTTTCTCTTCCGATTTCATCTTTTAGTGCAGTGCACCTACCATCTCTGTTCATGTTACTCATCTTTTTTCACCATTAAGAAAATCTCCGTTCCATTTTACAGTACCGGAAAAGGCAAACTTATCGGCCAGAAGAGTAAGCCCAGAGATCCAGCAAAGCGGCATTACTTGTTTAAAAGGCGTTATGGCTGAGAGTGAGACTGAAGAAGAAACATACAAAAATGGAAAAACTTTTTGAAAGAAGCTTGCATAACAAGTGAAAATATGTCGCTAAACTTGGAAATGAAAGAATCTGGCGTATCTGAAGAACACAATATTACAGAATCAAATTATCCAAAGCTTTTGATTTGTGTAATATAGGCTCTGGTGTTGGGTTTTCTGGTCTAGATGGAAGGACCTTTGTTGTAACTTGTAATTGCAGCGGGACGAAGAAATAATATGCTTACACTGGAGATACTTTATAATGCATCTGCTTCTTTTGTGATCTTTTGTGATGGTTAAGCATATTGAAAGGTTTTGTGATGTACTATTCTACTAGAGAATGAAATACGTAAAAGGATGGTAAAATTTTACATTTGCCTCTTTTTTTTTTTTTTTTTTTTTTTTCCCTCTTTTCTTGGTTGAAGCTTAGAAAATGATTAGGAACTAGTCACAGTAAATAATGGCAGTAGTTTTGAGATGTTTGGTTCATGGATTTATTATTATAATTCATGATTTTAATTTTTGAAATTTAAATTTTTTATGAGAGAAAGACACTGTAGAGAGTCAAGAATTATAATTTAAAATCAGAGACGAATCCTTGAAATAAATATCTCATAAGTTTTGGATGAACGAAGCTTTTGAGCTACGAGATTGGATCATCAGCTTAAAAAAGATTTTTTTTTTTTTTTTTTGTGGTTATGGATTTAATAATCAGGTAATTTTGTAGTCATTTCGGAACCCCACCAAAAAAAAAAGTAATTTTGTATTTATTTATGGAAAAAATATTCATCTATATATCCCCCTTTTTTTTTCCTCTTCTAAACAAAAAAAAAAGATGGTATTCGAAAATTTTGAGTGGCTGAAATTGTCTCTTTAAAAAAAATGCACGATCAAATTTACACCCTCTTAAATTCAAGTCTGACCCCACTCAACGTATCTCATATCTTCTGGTCTGACTTGATAAGTTATTGGCAACTAATCACCTTATGAGCTCATAAGATGGCAAAATTAAAGGGTAATTTTTAAAAATTATTCCTTAAAATAGAGTCATTTTATTTCTATTTTTAATATTAATTATATATTTTTACTTTTTAAATTAGAACTAATTAAAGTGATATAATTTTTTAAAAATGATACTTTTAACGAGTAAAATTTATAAGTGGATATTTAGTTCATAAATTTAAAACTGTGATTTAAAATTATTCTCATTTTTCATGTATTTTTATGAAGAAAAAAAATACTGTAAAAAATTATAAATTATAATTTAAAATTAAATATAAATACAAAAAATAAACGTCCTCTTTTCTCAAACTTTTTTTCTTCCAAACGTTGAACTAGTAATTGATATCCATGTGTTCTCTCTACTTTGTTTGTGCTATTGTTTGGAAAATTGGCACGAAAGGGGTATAGAATCTTAGATGAGGTATGCGTGGCACTTGAAAGTGAAACCTGTCTTGTTATCACTAAGCCGTCGGCAGGAAAGTACATGTCTGTCATAGCATCTTTAGTTATTCTTTTTATCTTGCGTTTTTGTACAGCATTTCTACCGCAGAATCTGCTACCTGTATTTATTTTTTACGGTTAAATTTTATTTAAATCATATCAAATTAAAAATATTACAGTCATTTAATTTATTAATTTAAATTAAAATATAATTTTATATAAAATTTTTTTATTATAATTAAAAAATTAAATGTATTTATTTTTAAGAATTTTTTAATATACTAAGGTATTGTTTATTTCAACGATTTGAGTTTTGTTATAATAAAAAATTATAAAAAATAGTCACATTTAAATTTTTTACTACAGTAAAAAATTCTTACATAAAGTCACATCTCAACTCGAATCAGCAAACTAAACGAATCCTAAAACTAAAATCGAAACCTGTATATTGTAAACAAATTTTGTTATAAATTTAACGGTTAGACAAAAAAACCTACTAACAATTCATTTTTTTTTTAAATCTCCTTTTGTATATTGATCCAAGCTTCGAAACTTGGATTAAGAATACTGCGCCATCAAACGAACTCGATTATCAGCTGTCACCATCTTGAAGTTGGTAAGTGAGCCCACAAACAAACAAGTACTTTCAAGAGAGAGTTGATGGATGACTTTTTTGGATTCTTCACTTGTTAGAGGAATATATGTATTTTTTTAATATATATATATATATATATATATATGTATATGTATATATTTTTCTAGCTTGCGAAGACCTAGGAAGGCAGCTAGTGTTTTGACTGCTTTTTGGGACATGCCTCTTTCACTTTCGTGTATGGAAACGGCACTTGATTGCCCATGACCCACCATTGAGAAGCCATTTTTATTTTACAGCAAAAAAAAAAAAGAGCCACAATCTTCCAATCAAACCCAAAAAAAGATTCACTTCACCGAGCCATACTCAAAAACACTGCTCATTATTGCTCTTGTACATTTGAGTATGTAAGATAACAAAGCCAAGTAGAATACTAAATTTGGCTTGAAATGGACATCACTCCTGATCCTAAGTAGTGGAGACAAGAAGGAAAAAAAAAACCAAGTCATTTGCAGTAAAGGAAGACAGAATGCACAATTCATAGGAAAAAGTAGTACTAAATAAAATAACATTCATAGTATTATATGAGAATCCTTCTTTTGTCAACCATAAGGCACTTGAAGGTTGAAACTTAGGAAACCACTTTGTAGTGTGAAGTCTTAATTTGTGATTATGAGAAAAACATAGAAGTATAGGGAATCTTGATTAGCTACACTAAAACGTGTTAATTTCACTGTAGTAAGGCATTACTATACGTAGTTTTGCCTTGGAACAGTTTGAACGAACAAGATATTTATTTTGGGGCGATATTGTAAGACTAATAAAACTTGTGTGATATAGTGCACATTTGTAAACATCAAATCATATAATAATTAAATAATGTGCAAATTGAAAATCTTCCGGTTCATATGCATTCAGTAACACAATGTTATTCTTCTTTAACCTACCTAATTATCCCCTATAACACTTTTTTTTTTTTTGAAGGACCCATCTATGAAGCTTATGACTTTCTTTCTCTACCTATATATAGTTATATACCTATATTGCTTTCTTTTTGAGTTGAAGTGAATATTTTGCTAAGACCGTATAAAATGAATTCATCCTGCTAAAGAAAAGAGGCCAAATTAGTTTATCCTTCTAAGCTCTTTTACACATTTGAGTCATTTTTCATACTTAATTACCAAAAGTTGCATCATTAGCCTAATGTGGCTCTCTATATCCTGTCTGCTATATGGACATTATAAAGAATAATAAAGCCAGTCCACTTAAATAATCATGTTAGCATTCGTGTACATTCTTATTATATGATTTTCTGTTAATAATTGTAAGAGACAAGCTACTGCTTAAGCATGGAATTTTCTGTGTACCAACAAGGACCCTCTTTTTTCTTAGTCGACCAAAACAAAAGGATGGAAAAAAAAAAAAAAAAAAAAAAAAAGGAAAAGAGAGAGATTTTTTAATACTGGTGCTCTTGAACTTTACATGGTTTAGCATTTTATTCCCGAATTCTTAAAATAGTTCTAATCAACTCTAATCATTAACGGGAGTTAAATTTTAGAGAATTTATGACGGATGTAAAGATTAAAAAGGGAGTAAAATGTCAAAATACGAGAAGTTAGAGGCATAAGTGCTAAAAATTATTGTTATTCTATCCATAATTTAACCCCCGTTAACATTTGAAATTAATTGCTATTACTTCATGGACTCCAAAACTAAATTGTCAAGAAGAAGAAAAAAAAAAAAGAGGCAAAAGTGTCGAAGCGTGAGAAATTTAAGGACACGGATGTTAAAAACTCCTTAAAAATAAAATAAAAAAAAGGGTTTTTTTGTCACTCATTTTCTCTCAACATCTTCTCCTGTACTCCGGAAAGGTTCTTTCTCGGGGTATCTATGGATTTTGGAATTAGGCTAGCTAGTGATGACTAATCTTTTACACAATCTTATAGCAGTGTAATGATAGGCATTTTGAAGTTACAAAAGCTTAAATTATTAATTTTCTTACTATATTGTGCTAGTCAAAAGTGAGTCTTTGGAATCATTGTTTGTGCTTATACTGATCAATTTAAAAACTCATTCTTTTCTTTACTGCTCACCCCATTAAGTTTGTGTGTTATTTTGTCTATATATATATATATATATGTATATATATATATTTTTTTTCTCTATCTCATAGACATATGTTGATCATTCCAAAGAAGATTGGTCACCAAATGATCCCATCAACTAATTGCCCAAATGAGACATTTTGGAAGCAAACGAAAAAAAAAAAGTTAATTAATTGCAAAGCTGTAGCTAAATTGACGAGATTCGGTCTTAAATTTGTTTCTCCTTTTGCCACTCTAAATTAGATGCTCATAGTTTCTTTATGGGTTTCCATTGGCATTTTTGATAGGGGTGATATCTGTTATATATAGGCTGTCGCCTCTAAAGCATGGAAATAAAAAGGTCCTTTTTGTTAAGAAAATTACATATTATGCTACTAAAATTTAACATATTTATATTTATACTATTTTTGTTGATTAAAAAAGTATTCCGATAAAATATTAAAACTATTCTAATAAAATACTCTCTAAAATATCCGATCATTTTTTTTTAGGAAAAATAAATAAATTGATAAGATATTAATAATATCATATCAGAATATTTTTTAGTGAATTGAGCAGTGTAGATGTTAAGTTTATGTCATTAGGAGACATAAATGTGAAGATGACATTTTTAATTGACATTTTTTTTATTTCTCTCTCTCTCTCTCTCTTTTTTTTTTTTTTTGTGTGGTTTCCTAAAGGTTCTTCCACACAGTAGAGTTCATCTTTTTTAGGTAGGTCAAACTAACACAATAGGGGATTGAAGATGCCAAGCTTGATGAGGGTTGTGACTTTGCGGGGGGAAAAAAACAATTATAATGTGCTCTATGATTAAAGCATCTCTTTAAATTCTATTGTCAAAATAATTTTATTCATATTACAAAGTTTTGTAATAAAGAAATTGTATTTGTAGTACTGGCATGGTATTGAGATCTATTCAGTTTGGTCCCTATATCTTCTTTTGTTGTCGTTTCAATATTTCACATTTTTTTTTCAACTTTGCAAGTGATCGCATCCTGTAGATACGGTTCTCTGCCAGTAGTGCAAAGTTTTTAAAATATTTGTGCTCTCTTCTTCGTTGATGCTACTAAGCTAAACAAAGAACTTGACACATGGGCAGCTTTTCTTTTGGATGTGTCTCGATTGAATTATTTTGCATAAAAACAATATATGTATTTTTATATAATATCTATATACATATATCGAAATGTAATAACTTGCTCCAGGTGTTTCTTCTGTGTTGTCAACATTTTCAATTTCTTTCAAGCGCAAAAAAAAAAAAAAAAAATCTTTCTTTTGAATTTGGGCACTGAAAGCCACTTTAGTACACATATTTGATCTCCAGCTCAAGCAAATTGAATAATATATGTAAATTGTTATTTTCTCATTTTTTTAGTTCTTGGTCACTGCTATCTAACATATATATATATATATATATTTTTTTTTTTTTTCTCACTAATAATGATCTAATCTAACACAATTCATGTTGAAGTCTTTTCAGTTGTTTTCAAAGCTAAATTTGCTATAAACAATCTAAAAAAAATGATAATAACCTTTTTTCATGTAGAACATAACAAAATGTTTTTTTTAAAAAAAAAAAAATCAAACGTCCTCTGCATGTCATTATATGTACATTGTAAGTATGTTTGGAACATTTAAACATGCCGAAGAAGGACCTGCGCCATCCATACTCTTAATTATAGTATTAATTCAAAGTTAATTTGCACAGGATTACCATTGTGGCTAATGATTTGACAGCACTAAAAAGGGTTGAAACATAATTATACTATATATATTGTAAACCATATTCATCCAATAGACTTGGAAATTCTTTTGACTGCAATCTGATTGGAAATGGAAATAATAATGAGATATGCTATTCAATTTTCTCTTCTTTAACTTTTCTATTTTGGGTATGAAAGTTTTCCAATCAGAACGAGAGAGAAATATTGGTTTTAGCCGAAAGAAAGCCATAAATGGAGTGTAATTGTCAAACAATATTCGATTTTATATTTTCTAAATAAGCAAAAACAAATATACAATATAATAGGGCTCCAACACGACCATTTAGTGCAGCATCATGTGTTTTTTGTTAGTTGGGTTACCAATTTGTAATTTTTTTTTTCCTGAATTACATTGATTGTTGAACCGTGATAGTGAAAAAAGAGAGAGTCAATGACTCCTCCAGGGGCTTACAAGATTATATCTATGAATATTACAGGCATATTTCTTATTCATTTATGCGTCAAATTTGTTATAATTTGCCAACGTATTAGAAGAAGAAGACCCATTTGGGGAATCCAAAAATTCCATACATAAAAATAAAAATAAAAAGTTTAGAACAATGTCATCAAAAAAGATACTTTAGTGTAGAAAATGACTTTTTTTTTTTCAACGCCTGCTTAAGGTATGTGGTATATGTACAATGTACAAAGTTATTACTTCAACAGAATAACATGCAGTTAGTGAGTACCTAACGTCATATTCCAACACTAAAGACTTAGAAAACTTTGCCTTTCTTGCTACCAATTATCAGTAAGAATGGGAATTTTTCACATTTTTTTTTAGCTTTACATGATGAAAGCATGCAAGTTGTCTCGGTAAATGCCACCTTCTTCATAGAATTGCCAATGGAGACCCTTGATATAAGGATTGCTTGTGTATCATACACAAAAGTTTTATCATAGAGTCTATTGGTTTGAAATTTAACTATTATAAGGTGTGCAGTTCAATTGTTGTTACAATATAATTGGAGAAAACACAAAATGAACGCGTGTAATTTTCTCTTGTAATTTAATTCATTATCAGTGAATTACTACAGTGGCTGAAACTGAATGCAATTCTTGTGTTAAAGGAGAATCGCTATAAATCGTGCATTTTTTCCCTCTATCTAAGATTTTATTAGTCCTGATAGTAAAGAATTAGCGAGTCTAATTTTTATCATTAACAGCCCTAAACCGACATAGATGTAGGCTAATTAAAGATTTAGCTGGGTTTCTAATGAAAAATGATAATCAAATCTATTAGATTTTGGAGCAAGGAAAATGAGAAAATCATCTTCATTTCAGTGTTCTACCATCCCACTATGGAATTGTTCAGTGAACCAAAAATTTCTTCATATGAAGAACAAATGTTCTACTGCAACACGTAAAAACGCTTTTTTCTCCTCCCACGTACCTTATTTCAAACGTGGTCACTAACTATTATGTTATGTCGGCTTCAGCACCCAGAAAAAGGAAAAATCTTTTGCACTTGAAAGAAATCAATTAATTGGCTTCTTCTTTCTCAGCAAATTTTTTCAAGAAAGCTCTCATTTCTAACAGCAAAACTGTGCTGGCATTAAATATTTCTCCTCTTATAGATTCATGAATCTGACTCTGCCAACAATATTACCAAAATGGTATATATTTTCCAAGCTTTGCATATCTAAATCCCAAAGCGTAAAATTTGTCGCTTGCTTCATAAATTTAACTAGAAAATTTAAACATAAATAAGCCCGTTTAGTTTGTTGATTTGAGTTTTTAATTCGAGTTTAGATGTGATTTTATGTGAGAGCTTTTTACTGTAACAAAAAAGTTAGATGTGATTGTTTGTGAGAATTTTTTACTGTAGCAGAACTCGAATCAGTGAAATGAACGGAGTTTTATATAAGAGAAAACTTGAAAATGTGATTCAGACTATAAAACATAAGGCACTTAAAGAAATCCTTGTTGCCAAGCAAAACCATCAAGATAAGGTCAAACATTTTTCTCATAGAGGAGAGAGAGGGGGAAATAGTCATATTATTGACCATTATATACATAGAAGTTCAATATAATTGGAAACAGAAAACAAATAAAAATATAAAAAAAAACTACCAAGTGCTAATTACTGCTAATCGGCCTACAACTACCCAACTAGAATATTAACCTCAGCAGCAACAATTTTTTGGTGTCTTATTAAAATAAGAACAAAAAAGAAAGAAAGAGAAAAGAAAAGAAAAGAAAAAAAAGAGCCCTTTGATTCTTTGCTCAAAAAGGCATTTTGTGGCCGTGTTGTGGTCCGGACCTAAAATATTGTAAAGAAATGTTCCACCAAAGAAGAAAAGCTCCACCAGAGAGAAAAGCGTCTTCTTCTTCATCTTCTCTTCCAACTATAATCAAAAGCCATAGTACTGGAACTGTGTGGGCCCATAAGTACTGTTCAGAAACTGTCCTCTCATCGCTGTTTCATTGTCTTCCTCCTCTTCATGCAGCCCTTCAAGCTGCCACACACCACATGCAAACTTCCAAACCATCATAAATTTCCCCATTTAATATTTTGACCCAAACATGTCATAATATATATATATATATGTGTACAAAAAATGTAAGTTATATTATGGCCATGATAACTGATTTTTCAACTAGTCAGAAAATTACAACATAACATTATATAAGCAAGCCAAGGTTTATGTATCATTGTTGTTATAAGAAATGAAACTAAAAAGTTTGAGAATTTGTTCAAATGTATTCTCCTTTCGATAAATTAACTCTTAATTTCATCATGCATAAAAAATTACTAATTTTCATAATTAAAATATGCATTATTTTCCTAAACTTATACGTCAATTTCACTTTCATAATGATAAAAAAAAAGGTTGATTTCTTGGTAATTAAAAAGAAGTGTTGATTACATACCCAGAGGTCATCTTCGTCTTCATCTCTGGAGGAAGAAGGAGCTTTGGGAGTCTCACCAAAACCAGGCTCGTCGTTGCGCGCGAATCTGCCGCGTATGCGTGGCCTGTTGTCCGCTAGCGTTTTTCTACATGCATACTAAAAAAAAAAAAAAAATTTGTCACACAAATTATAAACAAAAAAAAAATGTTTGATTTAGTATACTAAGATAACATTAACTCTGTTATTATTATTATTATTATTTTTACCTTAATGGTCTTGTTGAAGTTTCTGAGAGTTCTTTTTGCTCTGTATTTAGAAATCCTCTCTTTCCTTTCCTCTGCGCTGTACTTTCCCACTTTGAAGTTCGCTTCTTCCATGAACGAGCTCTCTGAATTCGCCAAAGGACTCGAAAACGACCTCTGGGTCGTTCTTGTCGTTCCAAAATTCTGTCCCTCCAAAAAAAAAAATCAAATAAAAAGGAAAAGAAAAAGAAGTTAATCAAATATTTATATATTTATATTATTCTGACCTGCAAATCTCCTGTGCTACAAACCCTCCTCATATGACCATTTAAAATGGCATTATTGTTATTATTCTCAGGTGAACTGAAAGAGGCTTGGTTTCCAAAGGTTGAAGAAGACTCCACTGATGGAGAGAAGAGAAACCCGGAAGAAGAACAACTCCTCTGCATAAACTTGGCCACATTTTGAACTCCACTATAGCTGTGAGGACCAAATTGCACTACTTGAGAATGATCAGAACCACTAATACTATAGTTATAACTGTTATTATAATCATTATTTTCATTGTTGTTGTAAAAAGAGTTGATATTCTCAAAAGTGCCCAAGTGGCATTCCTCAGTTTTGATCTGAAAAGCGTCGAGATTTGCGATCCCATTTTCCAAATTTGGGTGGTAAAGGTTTAAACTTTGGAGTTCTTGAGTTGGGGGTGAAATTTGGGGTTGGTCAAGAAGTGGGTTTTGGTTTTGGTTTTGGCTTTGGCTTTGTTGTTGGATTGGGTCAGAAAGAGCTTGGAGAATATCAATGGCGGAGTCTGAGAAAGGAGAGGAGAATTCATTGTCGTTGAAGAAGAGCTCTGCTTCTGAGGAGACCAACATCTCTGGGCTTGAAGAATGGTGGTAGAAAGACCCGTCAAAGATGAAGAGATCAGAGGACATTGTTGTGAGTTTTTTTTTTTTTTTTTTTTTTCCTTTTTTTTTTGGTGGGTTTTGGTTACTTTGTCAGTGTTGTTTGAGTGGTACTACTGACAAGTTGAGAAGAGCTCATTTGGTTTGATGGAGTGAGTGCTTGAGATTTTTATTAAGCTATTTTTCTCTCTCTCTCTCTCTCTGACTCTGTTTCTCTCTCTAGAATCGAGTTTAAAACATGCAGAGAGAGAGAGTTAGTCCACTAACCGGCATTCGACCTGGTTATATATGCGGCAAAAAAAAGTGATATTTTGTGCAACTTCCCCTGATTTTCTTGTATTTCAAAATGGTCCCCATGTAGGTTCGAAACATGAGAGTGTGAGCTTGCCGAAACATATTTTGAGTGTCGTTAGTTTACTTTTAAGGGAAATTAAAATGCTCAATTTAGTAGTAGAAGATGAAAATTACGTAAAACAGAATAAAAATGCAAAAAATTGGATTTATGGTTATTGCCAATTTGCATGGGAGCAATGAAGCACCAAATAAACCGGTCGAAAAGTAATATTAAATTTAATTCTACTGCTTGTGCCTATATTTTTAAAATTTTGGTGGTTTTGTTAAAGGATTTTTTTTTTTTTTTGTGTGCGTCACGAACCATTTATTTAATGAATTAAACTGCAATTCAAACATTTTTTTATAGTGTTTTCAATCAAACATGTTTTAGGGTGCTTTTGTTGATACGTTTTCTATTCTTAGATCTGGATTTCTTTTAAAATTCACGAGCACAAGTTTAAATTTAAAAGTGTTTAAACGTTAAATTTCCGAGCACAAGTTTAAATTTAGAAGTGTTTAAATGTTAAAGAAGTCACAAAACAGTCAAACCACTCAAATAACTAATCAATCTTCACACTTTGGTTTGGTTTGTCCTAAAGATTGATCTAGTTTAGTTTGATGTTTTGTACAAATCGAACTTTTATTAGTTGGAGGATTGTGCATTTGCCAATTCACAAAAACCAAACCCAATTAAACTTATTTATATTTATATTTTTTTCGTTGTAGATTGTAGCATTGTCTTAATTAAGTTTAAGTTTATCAAAAATTTTAATTGTACCTGTTTGTATTATTATCGTCTGTTTTATCTTGTTTTATATATTAAAAAACTAATTGAAAGACAAGTGCATAAGAAGTTTAAAGTGCCCGTTAATAAAATTTATTATTGCGTACTATTCTATGTGCTAAATGTAAGTTCCTACCACAAGCACCAAAAAAAAAAAAAAAAAAAAAAACCCCTCACTTTTGTACATAAATGTTGAAAGAACCCTTTGTTATATATTCTTGTTCAATGATGTGTGGGATGTTACACTTTCTTTTCTTAATTAATGACATGTTAATTCAAAGTATAATGTATGGGATGTTACAACTTTTATCTTAACATGTTAATTCAAAGTCTAGAAGGATTTTTTTCTTTTTCTTTAACACAACGCGTTATTTTGCTAGAGTATAATTGCTTGGGCTAGTTGGATAAAGAAAAAGCTGGAGATAAAACTTAACTAATCAACTTTTCATTTCACATATATAGGAAATTAGAAGGTGGTTCAATTTGGCGCATGCTTTAATCTTTATTGTAAATTGTAATGCAATATTCCAATTTGCCTTCATACCATCGTGACAAGCACGTCCCAATTCTCTATATGCCAGCAATTAGTTTTGTTTTCCATGTAAGGCCACACAAGCAAGCACATGATAATTAAACTTAGGGTTTTTTTTTTTTTTTTTTTTTTTTTTTTTTTTTTTTAAGATGTCCATTTGCTTCTATTGGATTATGAATAATCAACGTCGTTGAACAGTGATTTTTTCCGGAAACAACAAAAGAAAAGGTTAACTCTAAACGCGATTACGCTAACATCATTACTCCTTTTCATAAAATTATAGAGTTCTTCAAAAGATATTTTTATCAATTAACGACATTGATCAAGAACAAAAATTTAATGAAGTTAGTCCTTAAAAAATAGTTTTTTTTTTTGCTCAATTGCCCCTGTCTTTTCATCCTACTGTAATTAATTATTGTGGAGAGCATTGAGGAAGAATCTATGGCCGTGTTTAGAATTGATCTCATTTTTATTTTTCACATTTTTTAAGAAAAAAAAATGAAAATATTTTTAAAACGGTGTTTGGCGCAATAAAGACAACAAACAGAAATAAAAATGATTTTTCGGTTTAGTGTAAAATGAGAGAGAAATGAAAAATGACTTTTAGTTGTTTTTAATTTTTAATTTTCATTTTGTCATCTCTCAAACAGACAGAGATAGAGATTAATGAGTTTTTTATACTAAAAATAATCTTTTGATAAAATTAGCAAACGCATTTTTAAAAATAATTTATGTATGAGATTAAAAATATTTTCATTTTTATTTTCATATAAAAAATAAAATTATTTTAAAACGAGTTCTAAATGCGCCGTAAAAAACTCTAATTACAATGAGATTTGTAAAATATAACTAACGCCAACAAAGCTAAAACAAAATTACATCAAGCAACAGTCTCTTAACAACTTTAGATGACGACTGGACATTAACATCTCAGCTAGTGTCAATACCTTCTCTTAAACAAAATGCAGACTTGTCAACATTAAAGTCTCGTTCATTTCACTGATTTGAATTTGTTACAGTAAAAAATTCTCAGAAACAGTCACATCTAATTTTTTTACTATAATAAAAAAGTTATCACATAAAATTAAATTTTAACTCGAATCAGCGAACTAAACGGCCCTTAAGACCAGAAGAGCAGGACTTCAGCTTTACTAGAACGTTAATAACATGTTCCTTAGTAGGTACATATCGAACACCAATTTCCTTCGTTGATAATAACAAATGAAGTGCACATTCACTTCTATGTGCTTTGATTTATGAGTAATATACTGAATTAGAAGCAACAAAGTACGTAATCACACCGTAATAACGAGCACTTGTCACACATTCAAAAACTTTTTAAGAGAGTAAAATAAGGTTTTATTAAAAAATAAAAAAAACTGAAAATAACATTTAACAAAGCAGAAAAAGAAGGTTGGAGATTCAAATGTCAAGATATAAAGGATGAGGACCGGTGTGCAATAGGAGAAAAAGGATTAGGGACCAATGGAGCAAAAACTAAAAAAAAATTAAAGAATATTAACAATTTTTTGGTTAAACTCTAATTTAGTAACGCAAAAATAAAAAAACAAAAAAAAAAACATAATTTGGGGACTAGAATACTTAAAAGTGATGCACTTTAGTTATAAAATGAAAAAGAAAAAAAAAAGAAAAGAAAAGAGTGATTCAATTCATAGACAATTAAGAATTAACTGTATCGGAAAAATTAGGAATGGAAATTGGAATGTTCGAATTTACAGATATTATTATATGCCCGATCCTTCCAGAAAAAAAAAAAAGAAAAAAAAAACCTTACTCGACGGGTCACCAAGGACCAATGAGAATGCAACAGCTGGCATCGTGTTTCTCCGTGTCCAATAAGGTAGTTTCTACTTTCTACGCGTTTTTTTACAAATTCAATCGTCAACGCCAATTCACGATTAATTTCCTCTAAATTATTCTAAAAAAAAAAAAAAATTCCTCTCTAAATTTCCCCGTCCTTTCTTTCATTACTTGTTTGTCTCCTTTTCCATTTTCTTTCTCGAAGCCGAAGATTTCGAATTTTCCTTTTTGTAGGTTCCGTTGGCTCCGTTTTCTCTACGTTTCTCTTTGATTTTTCCTCCTTTTTTTCGCATTTCTCTGTTAGTCTTCTTGGACTTCATCAAAGCCCTAGAATTCGCCGAAAATTTTTCTCAAAATCTTTTGCGCTTTTTCGATCTTGCAGTTGGCCGGAGAGAGAGATCAAAGTGAGTGATCGATCGCCATGGCGTCGCAGCAGCACCTGGAGAAGATGCAGATCCGGCAGAATTACCGGAATCTATGGCACACTGATCTCATGAGCACTATCAAGGCCGATACGCCCTGTAAAATCTCTCTCTCTCTCTCTCTCGTAATTGTGTGTTTATCTGTGTTTCTTCGAGTACTAATTTTTCTCTGAAACTTGCTTGCAGATTGCTGCTTCGCGTTGTGGTGGTGAGTACTCTAGATCTCTTGGTTTTATTTGTTCTTCAATTTTCTTTTGAAATTCATATGCATTCTATATCTGAGTATAGGCTATTACGCTTCAATTTTTTTTTTTCCCGTTTGCTTCTTTTTAATTTCTTTTTTTGTTTTTGCCTCTGTTGACTCGCAATGAAGGGCGTTGACTTAAAATATTCCGCTTTCTTTTTTCGCGGAAAAGTAAAAAATAAAAAATAAAAAGAATCGTGTAATTCGATGCTCTCTGGCATTAAATTTTAGTTCCTGTCACCTTCAGTTATTTACTACGCCTGTTTGTATTATTGTTGAAATTGAGTTGATTAGATGAGAATTTAGTGAGGGAATGGTTTTTCAATGATTTGGCTACAATGGGAACTATGTATTGAATTTGAGATTAATTTGTATTTGTTAGAAACTAACTGTTGAAAGTACTCTTTAGCATTAAATCTTATTTTTCAAATGACCAACATTTTCGTAAATCCTTTCTAGCCCTTACACCCGGCTTGTGAAATGATACTGACCATTGTGAAGTGCATAGTGCAGCGAAGCTTGATGTTTCATGCTTCAGAATCTCAAGTATGAGGGGACACTATTCATTGGGATAGAGTTTAGGATCCATATTTTGTATTCCTTAGACAATAGACAGCCTAGTTTTTTGATATTTGCGACAAATCTCTGCTCTTTACCATTGTTTATTAGTGCCTAGATTCTGTTCTTGGTGGTTCGTTGGATTTCTCTGGCTGAGTTCTTGTAGATTGAAAAACATATGTATTCCCTTGACACAGCTCGAAAGCTTCCAAAGTACTTGAAGCTTAATGGGCCTCCTCATACTTTTAGTTCAGATTTTCTTCTGAAATTGTCTGTGCATATGCCAAGCGTTTTAAGTTTTCCTGTCCTTGGTGGAGCAAGCCAAATAGTGACTGGAGATTTCCCATTGTTTTTATTTTTTGTGTTGAGAATGTTCCTTTTAGTGTAGTTACTTTGTTATAGATATATTGTTTTGACTATTTGGCAACGGTTTTCACTGCATAATACATATGCAAACTATTTAGCTGTGGGTAGATATTCCATCCCTCATATATCTAATTTACGTTATGTTTCACTCTAGTGCACCTTGTGCGTCGTACTTGCTACGGAAACGAGCTCTGTACAATGACATGTCAAGGTATTGATGACATTTTATTCTCGTGCTCGGTTCTGTGTTAATGTTCCCGGTAATTGGTGTGATTTGTTTCATTCTGTTTTTTGGTTGTAGATACGTCTGCTGTGCTGGTTATATGCCTTGTAGTGGCAGGTGCGGAGAAAGTAGATGCCCAGAATTTTGCCTGGCAACTGAGGTAAACAATGAATCTTTGCATGTGTCTAAGACATGTATTTTCTATAGATACTCGGTTTAACAGAAGCCGCCCCCCACCCCTTTTTTTTGTTTTGTTTTGTTTTGTTTTTTTTGGTTTTGTTTTGTTTGTGTGTGTGTTAAAACCAATCCTTCCTCCTCTTCTAATTTTTCTTTTGTACACATAAATTTTATGGTAAACTACTTGAATAGGCTGTACTTTAGGTCTCAAAGTTCTCGATCTTTTCCCTGAAGCATATTGGATTAATACCAAATGGCATAGACTAGTTCTTTCCCCTTTTTTTTGTTTTGTTTTGTTTTGTTTTGTTTTGTTTTGTTTGTGTGTGTGTTAAAACCAATCCTTCCTCGTCTTCTAATTTTTCTTTTGTACACATAAATTTTATGGTAAACTACTTGAATAGGCTGTACTTTAGGTCTCAAAGTTCTCGATCTTTTCCCTGAAGCATATTGGATTAATACCAAATGGCATAGACTAGTTCTTTTAGGAAGAAAAGATGTTAAAAGTTATCGGGCTCTTGATTGGAAGAAAAAAATCAAAAGTTGGTAGTGCAGCCAACACTCTTTCTTCTTGGCTCACAACTAGATTCCTTTTACTTTCGTATAAAAATGGTATGGAGTGGACCTTAGATCTGTTTCCTATTCTTTTTTCCAAGTGCCATATTTAGACCTTCTGGTAACTATTAATGTAGCTTGAAAACTTAAGGTCTTGACTGAATACGACACAGAAAGAGGAGGAGGAAATACCTTTCTTTTGCTATTTTTTTGTTGATCGGTAAATGATCACTCTCCTCTTTATGTTTCCATTCATTTCTTGCCATGTGTCTTGATCTTGCAGGTTTTCCTGTGCTTTGGGAATTCAGTGGCCTCAACTCGCTTTTTGTTGCAAGACGAATTCAATATACAGACTACCCAATGCGATAATTGCATCATTGTACTCGTCTCTCAAATTTGCAAATATGTTAATGATCCATCGCACATTTTAGACAACCAATTCAAAGTACTACTATTTAACACTTTTCCTTCTGTTCGCAGGGTTTCATGTTCTGCCTACAACAAATTGCCTGCATCTTCTCCATAGTCGCACTTATAGTTGGCAGTGAGGAAATCCAACAGGCATCTCAGCTATTATCGTGTTTGGCTGACATGGTGTATTGCTCGTAAGTCTTCCGTTACGTTTTTCCTATCAAAACTTGTTAGCCAAACTGATTTTTATACTACTGTGTTTTAAAATAACTGATTTTCATTATCTTCTTTCTTGTAGGGTGTGTGCATGCATGCAGGTACGATGTGTGTTACATCTTTATATCAATTTTTCAAGTACAGAAAATTTAGAACCACGTAAGTACTTGAAATGAAAGAAATCACTTTTTGATTAGCTTCTGCCTGTGATTATTATTTGCAGACACAACACAAGGTGGAAATGGACAAAAGAGATGGTAAATTCGGGCCTCAGCCAGTGATGGCAGTGCCTCCTATTCAGCAGATGTCTCGCATTGATCAGCCAATTCCTCCGTCGGTTGGATATCCGCCTCAACCAGCGTATGGGCAACCTTATTCTTACCCACCTGCTCCACAGGCTCAAGGCTACCCAGCTGCTGGTTATCCACCTTCTGGCTATTCTAGGTGATTATTTTACCACGTTGATATTTTGGGGTCCTTGCTTCGCATGGAAATATTTTGTTTTTGCAAGTAAACTCATTAAGAAGTTCCTTTGTCTATTGAAGCTGACATTACTACCATCTAGCTGGGGTACTTCATAGATTTTACTTGCTTTTAGGAGTGGAAATGCGTTTGGTTTGTTTTATTAAATTTATTGAACTATGAAACAAAATACTGGAAATACTTTAATTTCGTCTTGTGTGGATATGCATTTTCTATGTGCGAAATATATGTGTTATGAAAACTAAGAAAATGCAAAACTAAGAAGAAAAATTTTAGAGAGAGTTTCATTAATCTTATAAATGTATATAAAATGAAGAGCTTTATAACTCTATTTATAGGAAAAATTTCGGCACTATTTACGGTTACTATTTACACAATACTTACTATCTAGGGTTATTATTTGCACAATAAGATTCTGACATAAACAGTAACTTTGACTGAGGTGCACAGTTACTATTCATAATATTCTCCCTTAGATGTCCACTATTCATGATGTCTTATTGAAAACGGAAAAATCCAGTGGGATACAAATCATAGCAAAGGAAAAAATAGTACATCATTTATCTATACGTGTTTATGCAGTCTCATTAAAAACCTTATTAGAAAAACACTGTGGGATAAAACCATAATAAGGGAAAAAGAGTACAGCCACGTAAACTCTCCCCAAGTTGACATGTATAGGCCTTCCTCATAAATCTCACAGATGACGCATCATGGTACTGTGGATATGCTTTCTAAATGTTGTAGTGGGAAGTGCCTTTATGAAAAGATCTGTTGCATTGTCACTTGATCGAACGTATTGAATATCAATATCCTTATTCTTTTCGAGCTCTTGGGAGTATTAGAAGAACTTCGGGGGTATGTGTTTCGTTATGTCGCTTTTGATGTAACCTTACTTTATTTTAGCGACACATGCTACAGTGTCTTCAAATAATACTATTGAATCTTTACTGATAGATAGTCCGCAAGTTTCTTAGATATGTTGAGTCATAGACCTCAGTCATACACATTCTCTCGACTTGCTTCATGGAGTGCAATAACTTTGGCATATTTTCAAGAAGTGGCAACGAGTGTTTGCTTTTGTGAACGCCATGAAATATCAGTATTTCCACATGTGAACATGTATCCAGTTTGAGACTTAGCTTTATGTGGATATGATAAATATCCTGCATCTGCAAAACCAATCATCCATTATTTTGATTCTTTAGGATAAAATAATCCCAAATTAAATGGTCTTTGAAGATAATGGAATATATGCTTAATTCCGTTCTAATGTCTTCGTGTAAGTGATGAGTTAAAGCTTGCTAATAGATTAGTAGCAAAAACTAAATCTGTTCGGGTACAATTAACAAAATATATAAAAGCTATTGCTTTAAATATGTTATTTTAGGACCGAGGACTTCTTCATTACCTTTGTAAGGGCAAAATGGATATTTTTCAACATTAAGTGATACAATCATTGGAGTACTTAAAGGATTTGATGTATCCATATATAAGCGTTTTCAGGCTTTTTTAGTATAGTTTGATTGATGCACAAGTATTCCACATTGAAAGTGCTTAATCTGTAAACCAAGATAATATTTCATTTTTTGAATGTCTTTCATCTTTTAAGTATATCACAGTTTTTTAAATTTCTTTATGAGTTCCAATGATATTCAAATCCTCGGCATAGACAACGATTATAACAAAATCAGATGTTCTCTTAATAAAAACACACGGGCATATGAGATTATTCACATATCCTGATTTTGATACATATTCACCTAAGTGATTATACTACATGCGTCCTGATTGCTTTAACCCATATAATGATCTTTGTAACTTAATCGAACATATATATTTAGGTTATGAATTTAGTGCTTCAAACATCTTAAATCCATAAGGAATTTTCATATAAATATCACCATCAAGCGATCTGTAAAAATAAGCAGTAACACCATCAATAAGACGCATCTCTAAATTTTAACAACATCCTGATTGCTTTAACCCATATAATGATCTTTGTAACTTAATCAAACATATATATTTAGGTTATGAATTTAGTGCTTCAAACATCTTAAATCCATAAGGAATTTTCATATAAATATCACCATCAAGCGATCCGTAAAAATAAGCTGTAACAACATCAATAAGACGCATCTCTAAATTTTAAGAAACAGTTAGGATGATTAAATATCTAAACGTAATTGCATTCATTACATGAGAATACGTTTCCTCATAATCAATCTCGGGTCTTTGTAAAAAATCTTCTGCAACAAGTCGAGCTTTATACCTTATAATTTCATTTTTCTTATTGTGTTTTTGCACAAAAAACCCATTTGTATCCCAAAGGTCTCACGGCTTCAGGCGTTAAGATAATAGGTATAAAAACTTTACACTTATTAAGTGAATTTAACTCTGCTTGTATAATATCTTTCTATTTGATCCAATTGTGTCTATTTTGGCATTCAGAAACGAATTTTAGTTCAGGATCCTCAGTTTCATTAATAATTTCACATGCCACACGGTAAGAAAATATTTCATCAATATTTTCAATTTCATTTCGATTTCATAATCCTCATGTATTGATATAGTCAATAGAGATCTTACTATTCTCAAAATCTTTAGAATTTTCTACAATATCGAGAATCTCTTTATTTGTATTATTTTGTGTTTCTCCTTAAACACTTTCCTCCAAATCGAGGTTATTATGCTCATTTACTCTCTTTCTTTTTTCGAGAATTTGTGTCTTTGGAACCGATAGGTCTACCACGTTTTAGGCGTGTTTTAGACATATTAATGATTTCATTATCAAATTGTCCTTATGGGATTTCAATCTGAGCGAGAGCATTTGCAGCTGGTACATATGATTTAGTCATCATTTTTGTATTAGTAAACGCATCTGGTAATTGATTTGCTAAGTTTTGTAAGTGCATAATCTTTTGCACTTCTAGTTCACATTGCTTTGTGTAATGATCAAGATGCAACAACGATGGTTCACATATGTAATTTCCTTTTCCAACTGTTTATTTTCTCCCCTAATGTTAGAAAGACTATCTCATTAAAATGACAATTAGTAAAACGTGTCATAAAAACATCACCAATTTGAGGCTCAAGATATCTGATGATAGAAAGGGATTCATACCCAATGTATATTCTTAGCCTTCTTTGAGGACTATCTTTGTGCGTTGTGGTGGAGCAATTGATACATATACCGTACAACCAAAAATTCTTAGATGGAAGATATTTAGTTCTTGACCAAATGCCAGTTATAAAGGGGAGTACTTATTATAAGCATTTAGTCTGATGTGAAGTAATGCCGCAACATGTAAAATTGCATAATCTCATACAGAAATAGGTAGCTTTGTTTAATTATGAAAACTAAGAAGAAAAACTTTAGAGAGAAAAACTAGAGAGAGAGTTTTATTAATTTTGTGAAGGTATATAAAATGAAGAGTTTTAAAACTCTATCTATAAGAAAATTTTTGGCACTATTCACAGTTACTATTTGCACAATACTTACTATTTACGGTTACTATTTGCACAATACTTACTATTTACAGTTATTATTTATACAATACTTACTATTTACAGTTACTATTTACACAATACTTACTATTTACGGTTACTATTTGCACAATAAGATTCTGATTGAATAGTAATTTTAACTGATTTGTATAGTAACTTTAATTGAAATGGACAGTTACTATTCATAACAATATGGAATATATGCAAAATATTTGTGTCACTTGGAGCGTTGAGTTTGTTATTTTATCCAATTGCCCATGGTGAAAGGAAACCTGGGGACCTTCCTCATTCCCATAAAGATGGAGATAAAAAAAGATGGGATAACTAGGGAATGGCTTTCCAGTTAGAGCTTACAAATTTATGCCTGAATTTAAATGCTTCTAGATTCAAATATATATATATATATATATATATATTTCTTTTTTCCTTGAAAACGAAATTAAGAGTGGTACAAGTATAATTCTAATTTTTTTCCTTCTAAAAAAATAGAATACCTAAAACTAAAAAAGAGAGTTATGGGTGCATTTTTCCCTAAATTTCTCTTTTAAGGGGAAAAATCTGCCCGGCCTTTTCCTTTAAAATTTGGCCAATACTATAGTTTGCTATAATTTCAATAGAATAACAATCTCGGAGGAAGATTTCGCCATCTGCAATGGTTCTTGATATTCCAAAATTTCAGTGCCTTCTCGGATAAAATGACTACACGTTACATTATAATGATTAAAAATAAAGAATTACTGATAATTTTTTTTTTCAGTCCTACGTATTTATAAAATAAAATTGACAACTCATGCAATCAGTTACGCCATCTAACTTAACAAATAGGTTTTGATGTGTCGTTTTTAGATTACTTTCCTCGAGTTCTTTTGCGGGTAGTTTAGAAGAAAGAAGAGTCTTCCTATTTTGAAGAAAAGCCTACCAACACAAGTCCTGGAGCTTACCTGTCTTAAAATTATATGGCTTGTTGTCTCTTTCACATGAGTGCGTACTATCTTTTTTCTCTCGGTAAATAATGCATATACATAGTTATACTGGTCATACTCTAAGGGTCCGTTAAGTTCGCAGATTTAAATTTTTAATTCGAGTTGATGTGTGATTTTATGTGAGAGCTTTTTACTGTAGCAAAACTCGAATCGGTGAAATAAACGAGACCTAAATTCTGATCTTAAAAAGATATGAAGCAAAAGGGAAAAATAAAAAAATGATAGTTCCTCGGTAGGGTGTGAAAAAAACATTCAATTGATAAGGTATTACTTGGAACATCTTCGTAGCAGGTTTTTATAATTTTACATACTTTCTTTTTTTTTTTAGTTTTGATAGAATTTTTACTGAATTTAACATTTAAAAATATGCAATACCGATTAAAGAATCCTATGATAGATGATAGATTAAAGTCGAATATGAAACTCAACCGAAAGCACACCAATTGTGTATTTCAAGCTTTCAAGCCACAAGGCAAATCAATCTTTATCTCAACGTAGCATCAATTTTAGCTAAAAGAGTTGGTTACGTCAAGACATTGAACTTGCCTTTGGCGGCAAAACCCCAAATAAAATTAAAAAAAAAGTTTTTAATAAGGACTCAAAACAATGTCGTTTCTAGAATCTTGACCAAGCTTATCCACCTAAATTCAGCCAACACCAACGAAATTGTCAAGCACCTTTGACCCTTTTTTCTCCTCATCTAGTTTTTAAAAGAACATCCCAACTACTTGAGTATGATATTCATATAGCGTTAATCTTCTTGGAAAATAATGCTTAACATAAGACAAATACTAGAAGACATGCCCTTGTAATTTTCAATTACGTATCATAGTCAAAAGGGCAGGCAAGGATATTAATACATATAAATATAGCCAGTTAAGAATTAGCTATCAGATTGCGTTTGCGTACGTATAAAATTCATCATATATAATGTCCTTAAGACATTGATATTGAAAAAAAAAGGGTAAATTGGTATTCTTCTAGAAGAGAACTGAAGACTATCCAAAAATTAAACAGAAAAAGGGTAATGAGAGTTAATTTTCTAACTATTTTTTGTTGGAAGTGGGTATAGCATATTAAGACTTGTGGGGCTCATTCTATCAAAAACAATACAAAAAGCAAACAGATAATAAGATAAGATTTTTTAATACAAGGCATATATTATTTGAGACATAGGCGAGTATTCATGGCATTTTTAGTTATTTTGTTCATTTTTATTTTTATTTTTATTATTTTTTATTTATTTATTTTTTTTGGCTTGTTATTTATCAAAGAGCATGTACTTTAAGAATCCTTGACGTGTAGGCTTTTTGTTCACAATTGGACACACGGTGCCGTTTATCTCCTGCCGCGTTACACCTTTCTTTCAAATCATTTTAGGCTTCTTTACGCATCAAGGGCTTTTTGTAATTTTTTTATTTTTTTATTTTTCTAATAAATCAAAAGCCTCTTTAATGACTCATGAAATCAAACTTGCAATCATCTCAGTACTTGGCTGAAATATACAATCCAATCATTTCTTTTGGCGGATATACATTTTAGCTTGGTACTTAAATAATATGTTGAGGTATTATAAGGAAAAGAGAAAAATAGCAATCTTACTTTTAACTGTGATTTCAAATTCAATATATATGTTTCGAAATATACATATTTAAACTCGTACGTTTATCTGACACATTAATTTTGGCCATTGAACGCTACATCATTAGTTTTTTGAATCTGAATGGGAATTTCATCTCAAGATAAACTTTGAGGCCAATGCAAATTTGTCATTGAACTGGCACCGTTCATTTCGCTGATTCAAGTTTAAAATTTGAGTTTTGCTACAGTAAAAAGTTTTCATAAACAATCACATTTAACTTTTTTACTACAGTAAAAAGCTCTCATATAAAATCACATCTCAACTCGAATCAGCGAACTAAACTGACACAGTTTGTCGCCACCTAAATCATTAATTCTGTTTTACCAAATTTATGAGACTTATATACCTCGACACATATCTTCAATTGACCAAATCATATTAATTAATAGACATCTTCCTCTTCCCCTTTGAAAAAATAAACTCGAATATTAATAGAATTGTTAGAGTAATCAATTTAAATTAATGTTTACAACAATATTCTAAAAAAATACCATGATTTTTTAAGCTTATTCTAAGATTGAAAGAAAATCTAAAGGAACTTGAAGGTGTGAACAATAAAAATGATAAAAGTAAATGAAGATACACATTAGACAGTAATCTGAATAAGATTCGTCCAATAATAAAAAGAAGAAAATATTAAGATTCCAACTAATGCCAATCTTTAGAAGACTTCCAAATTGAAGCCGGCGAATTTTAACCAGAATCCAGAGCAGAAACTATTTCAGAAAATTCCTTTTAGGACAGGAAAAATTGGAAAATTAATGAAAAGGAAAAGTTGATGGACCACACACACATTACTTCTTTGCTTTCAATTGGAGGTTGGCCCCTGAATCAAATTTTCAAGATGGGTTTCTTTTGATTTCATTGCTCTATCTTTGTAGGCTATCTACTTTACCCCACGATAAAATATATTAAAAGAAAGGAAAGAAAAACAGATTCCCCAGAAAACAAAAAGGAAAATGATTCCTGGAAACCCGGATGATTATCTTTTAATGCAAGGGGGGAAAAAAGCTATCAAAAGCCTTGATGATATCATCACTTAGACGTACTCATTGTTTAATTATGAGATCCCAATGAGCCGGCAAAATCATTCCAACAGCACGAGCTAACAAAATCTCAGGCAAATGAATGATTAACTTATTATTCTCCTTTTCATTTTTCATACCCAAAAAAATAAATAAAAAAATAAAAAGAAAGAAAAAAGAAGAAGCAAAGTGTGGTGAAGGAAAATAGAAGTATTAATTTTCCAGCAAAAAATGAAAGTAGTTATCAAGCTTTTTTTTTTAATTATTATTATGTTACGTACGCACTTCATAGGTTCATTGTAATCTTTGTTGGTTCAAGCAATCTATCTATACGCTTCATTCTTCCATTAGTGAAGTTGAACCAAGCCAAAGCCACCATTGACTATGTCAACACACAATACAACTCTCACAAAAAGCCAAAATCCAAAATCAATACTTTACCATATTGCATACCCAAAAAAAAAAAAAAAAAAAAAAGCCAAATGCGTCACATCTCTAGCTAATTATACCACAATACACCCAAAAAAACAGTAAACTCAAATAAACTAATTAATTACATAACATTTAGCTAAAGACGATACTTGAGATCAAAGAAGTAAACTAACAAACATATATATGAGATCCAATTTTCTTTTATTTCCTTTTTTTTTTTTTGAGTTATTTCATTTCTCAAAAGCTGTACAATCCTCATTCTTCCCATATTTACACCCCAAATCCCCTAAGAAAAAACCCCAAAACTTACATTTTATTCTTCTTCTTCTTCTTCTTCTTTCTTTTGAAAATCTAACAACAACAACAACAACAACAATAATAATAATAGTTAAGAGAGTACTTCTGAGTGCTACCACTACAAGTACTACAAACCAGTGATATGAGAATACTCAGCGTAAAACTCAGGAATCCCAGAAGCAGCCCACAATCTCTCATTGATCGCCCCTTGCAAGTCATCACGTAGAAGGGGGGTCCTACACAACGGACAAGTCTTCTGATCGTACCCCATCCAACGGTCCAGACACGACCTGTGGAATATGTGGCAACAGTTCGTCAGCCGTCGGATCTCGTCCTCCGATTCGAACTCGTACAAACAGACGGCGCAGCTCTCCGGCGGGTCCACCAGCTCCGAGAACTTCACCACGGGGAGGAGCTCCCGGATCAGCACCGACGAGACGGAATGGAATTCGGGTATTCGGGTCGTCGCCGGAGAGTCCGTCGACGACCAAGAAGTGCTGGATTCGGGATCGAGAAAGTCTTGGAGACCCAAGAAGGAGAAAATGATGGAGATGAATTTTCTGAGAAAACCCAGAAGAGAAAGTAAGTGGATGAAGAGTTTTGGCAAGAAAAGCTCTGTGTAGCCCACTGGGAATCCCATATTTTCTTTCTTTTCTTTTTTTTGCTCTTTTTCTCGGAGGAATATGAATATGTATATGTGTGAATTTCTTTTTTTCGTTTATTTTCTTTTGTTTTTGCGTTTGTTGTGAGTGAGGAAGGAAGGAGGTGGGAATGGGGAAGATTAGGCTGGTTTATATATATAGAGAGAGGAGGAGTTTGAGGTGTGGCTAAAATGTCATTTATGGGCTTGGTGGAGAGAAGAGAGAAGAGAGAGGAGAGAGAAAGTGAGAGAAGGGACATATAAAATAATTGAGATATTATTATTGTAAATTCATTATATAAATATAATTTGTTTTGATTCATTTATTGAGATATTATTATTTTGTTATTGCCACTACTTCAATACTAGTACTTAGACAGAAATTAGCAGTGGTAGCATTTAAGCATAAGAAATAAGTATCGCTTATATATATAAAAGAAAATAGTAATAAGTATCGAATTTAAAATGGGGTAAATTTGTATTTTTTTTTTTCTCGCATTGATGGGAAATATTTGATTTTTGACGGGGACAGTTATGAAGAAGCTGAAAATTTTGGCTGGCTTTCAATGATCCCAGTGTTTTGTGAAATTAATGAGACACCAAACAACATAGTACGTATCTCAAAAATACAAAAAGGCATTTTTTTTTTCTAGTTCGAATTCATTCACACTGCTTTTTTCTTTCTACTTTTGAACAATGAGGCAGAATTTTATCTCATTCATATCTTTATATCCAGTGCACTTGTAAAACTTCCTTATTTTCCCTTTTCATATTTTTTTTTTTTTGGTTTGAATACACTTGGTAATTAGTACTTGAGTTGTTGTAATTTCAGTCAAGGTCCTAAATTGACTCCACAAGGTTTAGAACCAAATTAATTAATTTGTTTTCTTGTTCCCTTGAAATGCATAATCCAACGGCTTCATGAGGTGCTAATAAATTGATAATGTTATTTTTGATGAATTGCAATAATTGAGGAGGAAAAACAAAAAAAAAAAAACTCAATTTGAGAAGTCATTAAGTCATGAAAATATCAAGGCATGAATAATGTTGTTGTTCACTTGCTCTTAGAAAGTAGTACCCAAAAAAAAATATTGTACTAGCTAGGAACAAGCACCAAATTGTATGATCATTTTGCGAAAATGCCATGCAAATCACTAGCAAATCGCAAGATTTGAATAAGGCCTTCCATCAAACAATATTTTGTCGGCAAGAAGTGCTCAAGTCATCACTTATAATAATATTCCTACGTCTGAAAATGAAACCACTTTTGTTGCTCGTTTTTGGTGGGTAGATTATCAGACACAACATCGTTTTATTTGCAAATTTTTCTTCACTTAAATTGGCTTTGTCGACAGGGTCCACGGAATATAGATGTAGTTGGTTAAGTGTGACAAAGATAATGTCCTTGAAAATGTGTTGGCGACAATTAGCTAGGTCTTGCTTTCTTTTTCTCTTTTTTTTTTTTTTTTGGCACTTATAATCAAGCCTTATTATAATTTGCTTACCTATTTTGTTGAGTCATGGTAGAATCTCAGATTATACACATTTATCGTAATTAATGTGTACATGTTTCTAAATGTGACATCTTATGCTAATTAACTAGTTATTTTTGTGAATTAACATTATAATTGTAGTTTTATTTATGAGAATTAATCTCGGTTTACAATGTAATCATTTAGTGAGTGAACATTGAAAGGTTATATTTTTGCTTTACATTTATTTTTTCTTTTTCAGATCATGGTGCTCAAATAATATTTCATAATATTGAAAGATCGTACATGTGGTACACGCACCACTATAGTGTTAAACTACCTTATGTCTTTTCTCCTTTTTATTGCCCCCCCTTTTTTTTTCCTTTTCGAGAGGAGCCTTATGTCTTTTCAAGCAAAGGAAACAAAAAATAAAGGAAAGATTGTAGCCTTATCCTTATGTACTTTTTTTTTTTTTCTTGTTTCTTTTTCTTTCTTTCACATTAACTGTAATTTTGCAGAAAGATTAGATATTTTCCACTTTATAAACCTCTCAAATCTTGATAAAGACTAGATTACAACAAAGGTTGATAGACATGCAAAAAATAATTATATTTACGTTTATGTATATATTGTGTTCATACATACATACATAGATACATACATATATGTGTATATATATATATATACTGCATAAATTTAAGAAACTATTAAGAGAGAGAGAGAGAGAGAGAGAGAGAGAGAGAAGAGCTTAGACTCTTTGTAGACTGTTTTCTTTTGGTACATATGGAGTAAGTTAGTAGTCCCTTTCGATAAGTATAAAACATCATTACAACTCGAGAAAGGAGAGTGTTTTCTAGTACTCTTTTTTTTTTTTCTTTTTTTTTCCCCTGAATGAGTGTTTTCTAGTACTTAATTACGGCCAGATAGTAGCCTTCTTGAGAGTTCATGAAGACAAACTTTCAAACAAAAGGAGATCTTCAATCCTCGTAACAACATAAAACTTGAAACTTGAATTTCAATTAATAACACACTAGCCTTTTTCACCCTTTAGGGTTACATAACCGATACGTATTAATATTGTTATAAAGATATATTATTAAGACTCCCAACCACTATCATAGAAATAGTACATGTGAACGAGACCCTAGTTGGAGTATCAATATTCCTTTATTTATATTACTCTTTTTCCGGGGTACTATATATTCTCATGAAGTTTTCAACGCATGATATAGATTCTTGAATTTGAATACATATATACATATATATATATATAGAGAGAGAGAGAGAGAGAGAGAGAGAGAGAGATAAAATAATAAATTAATAAAATAATGAATTGGCAAGGTAGGAATATTGGAGAAAGAGAGTGACAAAAGAGTATAGGAAGAATCAAGAGATGGTGAGCCCTGGCCAACCAGCCGGGGAGGATGGGGGAGGCAATTATGTGAGGCCAAAGTGGTAGAGGCCAGAGGGGGTGTGGGGTGCGCACCCAAAGAAGTGAGACTGACAAGTGTGTCTGATGAGGCCAAGACACTCACTGGCCCATTTCAATGCATACCCACCCACACCCCACATCCCACACACACACATCCTTGTCCATCACCCGACCGCCGGCCACCACCCACCCTCTCTTTGCTTCCCTCCCCCTCTCCCATCTTTTGTCTCTTTCTTTTTCCTTATTATTAATTCCCTCCACTACTCCTCATTTCAATTTTACCCTCATTTTTTTGTTTCTTCAAATACATTAACTTGGTATTTAGTATGAGGATTCGTGTCATGGTTCGAATAATAGTTCGTGACTCGTTATAATGTTTTTTCTCACAAAAAATACACGTAAATAAAAAATGATTATGAATCATAATTCTGAATCCGTGAACCAAACATCCACTAAATATTTTCAGAATAGAAAATGAGTTTTTTTTTTTTTTTTTTTTTTTGGTGGAAATTTTAAAATTTTCTAAA